GGCGGCGGCGGCGGCGGTGAAGGGGCGGCTGAGCCCCCCCGGGAGTTACGCTGTAGCGACTGCATCGTGTGGAACCGGCAGCAGACGTGGCTGTGCGTGGTGCCTCTGTTCATCGGCTTCATCGGTCTGGGGCTCAGCCTTATGCTGCTCAAATGGATCGTGGTGGGCTCCGTCAAGGAGTACGTGCCCACCGACCTGGTGGACTCCAAGGGGATGGGCCAGGACCCTTTCTTCCTCTCCAAGCCCATCCTGCCACTCCCTCAGCCGGCGGCAGTGGCGCCGCCGCCTCCTCCAGGACGCCCAACCGGATTAGCACGCGCCTGACCACCATTACGCGGGCGCCCACTCGCTTCCCGGGCCACCGGGTGCCTATCCGGGCCAGCCCGCGCTCCACCACGGCCCGGAACACTGGGGCGCCCCCGACGGTCCAGTCCACCACCACGGCCCCCTTCTTCAGTAGCAGCACTCTGGGCTCGCGACCCCCAGCGCCAGGAAGCCCCAGTACCCAGGCGATGCCCTCCTGGCCCACTGCGGCATATGCTACCTCCTCCTACCTTCACGATTCTACTCCCTCCTGGACTCTGTCTCCCTTTCAGGATGCTGCCGCCTCCTTTTCCTCCTCCTCCACCGCCACACCAGAAACTAGCACCAGCCCCAAATTTCGTAAGTAAACACGGTCTCTCAACTCTGATTTATCACCCTGGCCCCTCTCTGCCCCTGTCTGAGCCCCTCGCTTCTTGGCTTCTGGAGAGCTCCCTCCCCCATCCCAGGTCGGGCTTGCAGAGTGCGGGACGGGGCATAAACAGGTGCGGGCCGGTGCTGGGTCCGGTGTGCAGCGGGGCTGGGGTGAAGGGAGGGCAGATCTTGCAGCTCCATTGCCCGACTTCCCTGAGTCCCGAATGAGAACAGAACCCCTGACTCCCTTCACAGGGTTAAGGCCAGTGCATCCGCTCTCACTGCAGACCTGCGGGCAGAGAGAGCTCTGTGGCATCCTGTTCCCGCACCAGGCTGGGGAGGGAGGGAAAGAAGAAGGGCCTTCCAAAGAGCCCTGTCCCACGCCACCCATGGGCAGCAAGGAGAAAAAAAAAAAAAAAAAAAAAAAAAACCAGCAAATTGACCCAGGATAAACCACAAAGGGAAGTGCTGGGCGTTTGGTGGGTGAGGATGTGAGGGAGGTGTTGGAAGAATGTAGCTGAAGCCTTTTCAGCAGTCCCGGCCTCTTGGGGGACCAGGAAGGGTTAACCAGAAGCCATTGGGGGAGGTTAAAAGAGTCTACAATGATCACCCCCCAGCCTGCCTCTGGCCTAGCAGAGGTGTAGAAATTGATTCTGTGACCGCTGAGCATGAGTTAAGTAGGAGGGAATAAGAAGAGAGCCCTGCGGAGTGGCTGCTTCTGAGGTCCCGAGAAAGAAGAGCCCCCCATTTTTTTTAGATGTCCAGCATTTGCTTTTGTTCTTTTCCCAAAGGTGGGGTGTGGACCTGGTCTCCTTGCCACCCCAGCTTGAAAGACAGGCAGGCTGGGACAGAGTTCTCTGCACTGGAAGGGAGAACACCAACCATTTTTGAATCACCCTTTGGGTAAAGCATGTGCATTCTGGGCTCAATTTTTATGGGTCCTGGACAGTTAACCACACTTGGATAGCTTTTTGTATATAGGTGTAGGCTTTGTATTTTTCTGAATGTTTTAGGTAACTAATTGGCCTCCCACCCCACCCCCTTACATTTTTCTTACTATAAAGAAATCTCAGGAACCTCCTTTATCTGATGACTGATCAGGGTACAGGAATAGTTTGTTGAACCTGTGAAGGTTATTTAGGACAAACCCCTACCTTTCCAGTTTCAAGTTCTTTGCAAGGCTGTTCTGCAAAAACTGATTGTGCTATCTTGATACTGTATTTCTGTTTGAGGCTGTAACATCTAGGGGAATGACAGTGCTCATCATTAACTCAGTGCTGCTAGGAATTCCTGGTTTGGTTTCTCTGTCATGTGGTATTTTTTTCATATCCCCCAGCTGTGATCTCCCTTAACCCTTGAAACTTTTTTACCAGAAAATTTTTATTAAGGATTAAGTGTATTTGTAAGTAAGATCCAGGAGAGAAACTCCTGTTCCCTTATATACTGCTTTAGAGAAAACAGGCTAGACAATAAATGCCAGTCAGGAAGGAGAGGGGAAGGAAGCATTCTGCCACCACCAGAATGGCAGGAGAGTCCTAAACTAACAGCGTTTCTGCTTTGGTTGGAGCAGTCATTTCTGAAAGCAGTTTCTCAGGAGATGTTTAGAGGCTCCTCTCAACCATCTAGCTTGAGTTTTGTGCAGGGATGAAGGATTTGCTAGTGTGTGTGTGAACCTATTAAATCCACTGAAAATAGGTGTCCGTGGAAGCCCTAGATATTTTTTAATGTTTTGATGCAGTTGATATGAATAATGGAGTGTTCCAGCACTTCCCAGCCCTGTGTCTGTAGGGGGGGTGGCAGCACTTCTTGGGGTGTTTCTTGTTCTTTTTCAATTGATTTCCTTGTGTTCCATTCTGGGGAGGTCTTCAGAGAAAAACCCTAAGGTAATTATTTCTGCCCCTCTACTTTCTCCATTCTCTGGAAGGGAATGGCAGCCTGTTTAATAAGTAATGATTATTGACAGCAAAAGAAAGGGAAAAATCTGTAAATGTTGTCAATGTTCACATAGACATATAAGCATTATTTATTTTATTTGTAGTTGAGGTGTAGCCCTTTCTCTGTTTGAAACCCTTAACAAGGAGTTGAATTAAGGGATAAAAGGCAAGTATGAAAATCTGGCAGAAATTGACCTGGTTTGCATACATCAATAAGGGAAATGTTACTGAAAGGTAGATTATGTAGTTTCTATAAAAGGTGGGTTTTAAATAGGTAGGTTTTGTGGTAATTTAAAGAAAAGGCATATTTAATTATTTTTTCATCTAAGGCTGCAGGATTAATAAAAGGAAACAAAGATTTCATTTGCAGGATTATCAGCACTGCTGCTCTGAGCTGAATTATAGCTTGAATAGCTGGTATTCATATTTTTCAGTTGTTTTGATTATGTCACTGAAGTTCCCAAGAGAGAAATCCCTCCTTGCTTGGCTCCTGCTTCCATTCCTCAGCAGGGTTTTTTTGTTTTGTTTTGTTTTTTTCCTGTGCTTCTGTTTCTTTTCTTTTCAATGAAAGTCATGCATTCAGTTTTTGTACCTGAAGACAGCCAAGCATGATGCTGTTTTTGTGAGGCTCATAAAATTCTTAAATGGCCAGAGTCTTGGTTCTTGAATTGAACCTTTCATGGCTTATAGTATGAATGTCTTTGTGTTGATCTCAGAACAGTCAGAAGGCTCAGTTCTGTAAGGGCAGCACAGTTCTTTGGAGTGGGAGGCACTTGTTCACTGAGAATAAACACACTTGCTAAAGGATAGTAGGACTTTGGCAAGCAAAAGCTCTGTAGGAAGGGCCCAGTTGACACCTTAAACAGCAGTGGGATAAGAGATCAGCATTTGAGTCTTGTCTTCTGTTCTTTACCCTTTAGACCATGAATTGGACCAAAAGTTTCCTCAGTCACTGTCCCTGGAATGTCTTGGCTTCCCAGTGGCCCAGTATTGCCTTCCTCTAGGCTTCTTATAAATAAGTGTTTTAAATGTATTGCTACTAGGGGATTATTTCAGTAAGTGTCTTTTTGAAGCATTTTGTATCTGAAAATGTAGGTTAGTTTACTGATTTTGTAGCCAGTGAGAGGTCACTACAAATAGAACAGTGGTTTTGGCCAACATCTTTTCCCTGTTATAGCCCTTTTACTTCTGTTTTTAGATTTGAAACATATTTGTATAATGTTTCTAATATCAGTGTGAATTATTTTTGAGTTTTGTACTTCTTTCACCTAGTGAAAAGGGCTATTTAACTGGTAAAAGGCCAGTAAGTGGCTGAATTCAAAGATAAAGACAAAGAGTACCTCTGAATGGACTATTCTTCAGATCATATTAGGAAGGTTATATAGTTAAATGCCAGTAAATTATATCACAGTTAATGAATAGTACATTTAGAGAAGAAATGAATATCATATGTAGCAGTAATATTTAAGCATGATATAAAGGCAAGTTTAATTCAACTCTTTAGTCATACCAATTGTGAGTTGTAAAAGAGCCCTTGATGAAATCAACCATTTTCTTGTTTATTTTTTCTATGTATTTACTCCTTCAATAAGCATACTCTTGGCTGCTTTGTAAGTGGCCTCAACTATAATTTGTTTAAAGTTACTTCTGTACCTCATGTTCTGTCTACACGAGTCAAGGCCTTTAAAGGTACTCCAACATAAAAATTACTGGTCCCAACCATGCATGGTCTGCCAAAGTGAGAGGAGTCAGAGCTCAAGATCAGCATTTTTTATGAAATACAGTTGAGAACTTTTTAATGAGCGTATGCTGCAAACTGAGTATATTTTGATTTCCTTTGGTCTTAATACAGAATTATGGGACTTCTCTGTTTTGATCATTTGCAGTGTACAGTTTTGTTCTTTAGACATGTCTTTAGACACTTTGGTTCTAACCCAAATAAAATATGTAAAAAGTATGTGGGGATTGGGCACTGGCTTCTTTTAGGGCCCCTTTGAGTTTGATTTGAGTGCATCATAACGGCACGGTTGAAGAATTCCCCTCAATTCCTCATGACCAAGGAAGGGGAGTGGAGGTGTTTTTGCTAGTCAGGAATACCATTTTTAGGTGAACTTGTGAATCCAGCCACCTTAGTATTTGTACTCTATCCTGGATGGGCTTTATTTTAAATGTAGTGTTAATCCACAAGCTTGTTTGGAAAAAATGACCTCCTTTGAGGCAATTTCTGCTGCTGAAGGGGCAGCTTTCCTCATTCTAGGCTGAGCCACGGGCAGGCATCTGGAGCAGTTTGTGGAGTCAGTGCCACCCTGGGAGAGCACAGGAACAAAGTCTGTCCTTTTCAGTGTTCCCAGCCTTTCTTCCTGGTCATGCCACAATCCACAATAATAGAGCTGATTTTTAACTTCTTTTGTCGAAATCCTTTTCTCATAACCTCTCATATCCAGTGCCAAGCATATCTCAACATTCTATCTGGAGAATTGAAAATGGAACATGAAATTTGGCCCTGAAATGTAAAAGAGCAGGGGAAGAGTCATAAATCTAAGCCTTTAAAATACATTTGAATTGCTTCTGAATGGAACTGAAATTCATTTTTCTTCCGGTCTGTTTTTATCTCTAGACCAGTGTGTTGGGTAAGCCACGGCACTCAGATTGCCTTGACAAATACCCCTGAAATGATGAAAAGTTTTACTTATCTACCTCCAGGAGTGTTCCCTGTAGAACTGTGTTCATGGTGAAGGTAGCAGGAGGAATGGACTCCATCTCTTGTGGGCTTAGCTTTGTAATGTCAACATGAAGACATATCTGAGCAATGCTTCCCTTTTGTGCAGCTAACAAAAAAGAATGATAGCACACTTGTTTGTTTTTCTGTTTTCATTAGTCTTTCACTGAAGATTTCAGTTCCATTGTCTTGAATCATGGCTCTCATTGAGGAAACTTGTTATATATCCATAGTAACTTAGACTCATTTTAAGTTGTTTTAAACAAATTATCACTGTGATGAGACATGTTGGACTGCTTAATTTGATATAAAAATTAAAAGAAATTTAGGTAATT